CACACATGAGGCCCAAGCTAGAAAATTTTGCATATTTTAAGACACAAAGTAAGTCAAGTTCAACGGAAGCAACCTTAATCCAACTCTCATAAATGTTGGCAAACTAGATGGTTCAGTCCTCAAGAAAATAAAATGCAGTTGCCTGCATTTGTCATACTAACTATGGCTCAGATGAAAGACTGTGTTTGAAAGTGTCAAACATGGGAACATTAAATAGGTCTGGAGATAAACTGTTTAAATGTTTCTTCCTTCCTCCCAAAGTAATGCTGGCCAAAGGCACTTTCCAAGTACATTGCTTCAGCATGTCTTACACTTACCACCCTTCGCATTTGACATGATACTTTCATGTTTGTGATCCAGTTTGCTCCTTAACAACCCTCTGAGGTCACAGAGGAGAATGGGAAGCATCTTACGCTGCAGGAAAATAAACAGCCTGTCCACAGGGCCAGTTGAGGTAGAACCATTTGCCTTAGTTCCTTTTCCTGTGTTGCTTTCCACCACAAAACATTCACTGTCTTCAAAGGATTAAAATCAACACGTTGGTGCAACTGAGACTAGTCTTCAGCCACTTTGTTTCCTCCCCCTTACTAACAGAAATCAGTGCAAACAAATTCTAGAAGCCCTATTCTTAATTCCATGTGATCCTGTGAATGTTTGAGTCTGAATGAATAATCTAGGCAGTGCAAAAAGGGGAAAAGAAAAGTTTTGTCGAGAAACAATGTCTATTACCAATGACTGAACACTTGGAACATACACGGTATTTTCCAGGGCTTTCCCTTTTACATCTTTTTATTTCTTAATATTCATTCATTCATTTATTTGAAATACAGAGTTAGAGAGACAGAGAGAGATAGAGAAAGAGAGATATCTTCCATCTGCTAGTTCATTCCCCAGATGGCTGCTGGGCCAGGCCAAAGCCAGGAGTCAGGAGCTTCTTCTGGGAGATCACATAGGTACAGGGGACCAAGGACTTGGGCCAACTTCCACTGCTTTCCCAGGCATAGAGCTGGATCAGAAGTGCAGCAGCCAGGACTTGAACAGGCACCCATTTGGGATGTCAGTGCCATAGTTTGCAGCTTTACCCATTAAGCCACAGTGCCGGCCTCTTTTTTATTTCTTAAGCAACAGAATTTTACTTTGGCCATTCAATCAAAATTTCAGAATCATTTGTGACTTCCTTGGTTTGGTTGGCAGATATGAATGGAATTAGCAAAATGTTGTCATTTAGACAGAGAACCCCTAAATGTTAGAAGTGAAGAGAACCTTGGAGATGATCTACTCCAAACTTCAAGAAGATTTTGACCAGCATCATCCAGAAAATTGCTTGGAATTTTCTTGCCATATACAAACATAGGTCTGTTTGCTAGAGCTGAGAGCAATGCTTGGGCTCCTGCTGGCTCTAGAGGTCAACTGTTGGAGGTGACAGAGATTAAAATGCAGAATCTAGCAGTGGGTATTTAGCACAGTGGTTAAGCTTCAGCTCAGGATGCCTACATTCCTTATAGGAGTACCTGGGTTCAAGTCCCAGCTCTGGTCTCCATTCTAGTTTCCTTGTCATGTGCACCCTTGGAGGCAGCAAGTTATGTCTCAACTGCTTGGGCCTCTGCCACCCACATAGAAAACATGGATTGAGCCAGGTCCAGCCCTAGCTGTTGTGTAGCATTTGGGGAGTGAACCAGCACATGGGAAATCTCTCTGGGTCTGCCTCTCTTGTCTCTATCTCGGTCTCTTTGTCTTTCAAATAAATAAATATAAAAACTAAAAACTTTAGTCTATGGTCCTAATTTGTACACAGTTTTGATAAATGAAGCAATACTTACAGACCATAAGGCTGTAAAGTAAATAGCTATGTTCAGAGTGTATACTGTAGCTTAGAGCAAAATTTCACATTTATTTTATTTATTGTGTTAAAAACAACTGTACAATAAGACAATAAATGTGCATTTGGCTTATTGTTCCACACGTCACCTTTGGTATATATTGAATAATTTGTCTACAGTGCTGTCTTTCTGGGAGAACTCCAAGCTTCACAAGATATTTAAATAAACCATTTCTCTAAATTGAGAGCAAATGGGTTTTGACAGATTGAATTTAAACATGAGACAGAAAATAGTGCACTTCAATACCTTATGATTTCTTTAACATGAACATTTAGTTGCTAAGGGCTAGAGTGTTTGGTTTTTCTTTTAGTAACTCTTTTTCTTCAAGAATGTATTGCAAATCAATGTTGTACATATACTAAATTTCCTCGTGTTGAAGGTCACCATATTTGTTAAGTTGTAATCAGCTAGACTATAAACTGTATCCATCCTATCTAGTGTTTATTCCCAAAATTATCTGCAGAGTAAAAACGGCCTACAATCCAGCTCCAGTTGTGAAGTTAAGAAAAACTGAAGGCCCACCTTTGACCTTCCACTTTGTTCTTTGCCCAAAATGTTGGAAGATAATGGGATAGATGTGTTTACATTTCTACTTTTCTCCTTTTTCTTTAGAGAGATAAGTATTGAGAAAATGCATCCAAAATAAGTGAAGAAATGAGAAAGTGTGAAAAGCTACAGTATAGATTATCAATACAATGTCAACAGTCTCAATACTTAAAATGCCAAGAGGTAGATCAGAAACAGTGTGACCTCCTAGAAGTCAACAGCGGGACCTGGTTGTTGATGGTAGAAGAATGGATGGGGCCGTCTCAAGAGTATTTTAGTAAGAGAATGTTGCAGATCTCACCCTGCTATTGGCCTTTGATGGTAGAAATTGCAGGCAAGCATTCTCAACATGCTTTTAACAAATCATCTGACTCCATTATCAGTGGGTTCATCTAAATCTTGTTGTGGGAGTTTCGATTGTCAGCCTTCACAGTATCTTAAAGTAAATGAAGAGAACTTTTGATCTGTTGTGATTCACTGATCCACACTTTTAAAGAAACTTGTGAAGTGCACTTAAGCAAAAAAGTACCTAACCTAGTACTAAGCAGAAAATACAAACACTAATAATAAAATATTCTCCTGCAAGTTAAAGAACCATAAATCACTATTTAATAACTATAACACATTCTAAAACACAATTTTCTGGGGTGTTTCTTATATCAGTTTAAGAGGGGAGATGAAAGTTACAAGTGGCTGGCGCGTGGCTCAATAGGCTAATCCTCCGCCTTGCAGCGCCGGCACACCAGGTTCTAGTCCCAGTCTGGGCGCCAGATTCTGTCCCGGTTGCCCTCTTCCAGGCCAGCTCTCTGCTATGGCCCAGGAGTGCAGTGGAGGATGGCCCAAGTCCTTGGGCCCTGCACCCCATGGGAGACCAGGAAAAGCACCTGGCTCCTGGCTTTGGATCAGCGCAATGCGCCAGCCACAGCGTGCCAGCCGCGGCGGCCATTGGAGGGTGAACCAACGGCAAAAGGAAGACCTTTCTCTCTGCCTCTCTCTCTCTCTCACTGTCCACTCTGCCTGTCAAAAAAAAAAAAAAAGTTATAAGAACAGGAAGCAGAAACAATGAATGACAGAAAGCCAAAGAGGAGAAAGTAGAATAACCTAATTGTAGAGAAACTTAGAAGGAGAAAGAGAAGAGAGTGGATGAAGAAAGAAGTTAGAATTTCTTATGTAAACTAATTCTTCACATACTGAGCTATGTGGCTCTATTGCCATTGCTCTCTATCTGTATCATATAGAGTGTGGTTTTATGGATTTCCCACATATCCAGTCCTAGCTTGGTATTCCCAGACTAAAATCCTGGGTCATTTCCTCCACTACAATACAAGTGCCTTTCATTGATTTAGCAACGTCCATGTACCAAGTAATCTTTACAGCAACTCTGAAGTAGCTATGATTTTTAACTCATTCAGCAAATTTGTAAACTGAAACACAGAGCAGTTAAATAACTTGCCCACGGTCACCAGGTAAGCAGTAAGGTCAGTTTCAAAACTTAAACTACCTGACTGCAAAACCCACTCCCTCGATCCCCTTCCTCCTTCTTTCCTGCCGCGCCTGATTTGCTGCTGTTATTACCACCTAAGAAAGTCCACCTTGGCCTGAGGTCACCACAGATGCTCTTTGGGCCTTTCTTGATGAAATCTTCCCTGATTGAATGAAGTCAGCTCATAACCTTCCCTTCCCCATGATGTTGCCCGAAGTGCACACAGCCCAGGACGGAGGCCATGCTGCCTCCCTTCTGCTGCCAGTGCTCAGCACGTGCACACCATTGTTCTTGGGAATGCCATATGGTATCTCCACATGTAGGTCTCTGTTTGTGTCCTGAAAGTCGAATAAAACTTCCAGAGCTCAGCAGTTCTGTCTAGCTTAGGTAGTGTGTTAGACAGTTCACAGAAGGAAACACAAATAGGAAGATTAAGAGGAAAGTCATAAGGGTAGGCATTTGGTCTAGAAACTAAAGGAATCAGGAGGCTGGAGAGCTCTTGTTCCTAATTCCAGCTTCCTGCTACTGCAGACTGTGAGAGGCAGCAGGTGATGGCTCAAGTTCCTTTACCCACAAGGGAGACCTATATTGACTTTCTGGCTCCCAGTTTTGACCTGAACTAGTCCTGGCCATTGCAGCCATTTGGGAAGTAAACCAGAGAGTGGAAGCATATTCTCATTCTCTCTCTCTCTCTCTAAGTAAATAATCATTTTTAAAGAAAGAAAAATTACAAATAACTAAGATTTGAGAAATAATCACTTCCATGATTATTCCAGACACATCTGGCCCGCCTCCAAATGGTGAAAATCCACACAGATGTGCCTGAGAATAATAAGCAGTGAGAGGAAAACGGACTTTTTTCAAGTTGCTTAAGTCCTAGAATTGAAGAGAACATTAGGCTTCTAGGTGAAATGAATTCATGAAGAGTGAATTTTTTTTTTTTTTTGGTAGGGAATCTAAAGTTGTATAGTTACCTTCTTAAAACGTTCTTGGAATAGCATGGAATGTTCCGCATCATGGGAGCCACGTGTCACCTAACTGCCTTAGAAACTAAGAGCATTTGCTAACATGGGCTTTCTTCTCTTTTCCAGATCTTGGCCATTGTGTCTATCCTATTCATCGTCCTTTCCACCATCGCTTTGTCTCTCAACACACTGCCAGAGCTGCAGGAAACGGATGAATTTGGACAACCCAGTGACAACCCAAAGTTGGCCCATGTGGAGGCTGTGTGTATTGCTTGGTTTACCATGGAGTACCTCTTACGCTTCCTGTCCTCACCAAATAAGTGGAAGTTCTTTAAAGGCCCACTGAACGTCATTGATTTGCTGGCCATCTTGCCGTACTACGTCACCATTTTCCTCACGGAGTCCAACAAGAGCGTGCTGCAGTTCCAAAACGTGAGGCGCGTAGTCCAGATCTTCCGAATCATGCGCATCCTCCGGATCCTGAAACTGGCCAGACACTCAACGGGCTTGCAGTCCCTGGGCTTCACCCTGAGGCGGAGCTACAATGAATTGGGCTTGTTGATACTGTTTTTGGCCATGGGGATCATGATATTTTCCAGCCTGGTATTTTTTGCAGAGAAGGATGAAGATGCTACCAAGTTCACCAGTATCCCTGCATCATTTTGGTGGGCCACCATCACCATGACCACCGTGGGCTATGGGGACATTTACCCAAAGACATTATTAGGGAAAATTGTGGGCGGTCTGTGCTGTATTGCTGGGGTTCTGGTGATCGCCCTTCCTATACCAATCATTGTAAACAATTTCTCTGAATTTTACAAGGAGCAGAAACGCCAGGAGAAGGCGATTAAGAGGAGGGAAGCTCTCGAGCGGGCCAAACGGAATGGAAGTATCGTGTCCATGAACTTGAAGGATGCCTTTGCTCGAAGTATGGAACTGATCGATGTGGCCGTGGAGAAAGCCGGAGAGACAGCCAACACCAAGGACTCGGCTGATGATAATCACCTGTCTCCAAGCAGGTGGAAGTGGGCCAGGAAAGCTCTGTCAGAATCCAGCTCCAACAAATCCTATGAGAATAAGTACCAGGAGGTTAGCCAGAAAGACTCCCACGAGCAGTTGAACAACACTTCTTCCTCCAGCCCACAGCATCTGAGTGCCCAGAAACTGGAGATGCTGTACAATGAAATCACCAAGACACAGCCTCACTCTCACCAGGCCCCGGACTGCCAGGAGCAGCCAGAGAGGCCATCTGCCTATGAAGAAGAGATAGAAATGGAGGAAGTGGTCTGCCCGCAGGAGCAGTTGGCCGTGGCGCAGACTGAGGTCATCGTGGACATGAAAAGCACCTCCAGCATCGACAGCTTCACCAGCTGCGCCACTGACTTCACGGAGACCGAGAGGTCGCCCCTGCCGCCACCCTCCGCGTCTCACTTACACATGAAGTTCCCCACCGACTTCCCAGGAACAGAAGAGCACCAAAGAGCCAGGGGCCCCCCATTTCTAACCCTCACCAGGGAGAAAGGGCCTGCCGCCAGGGAGGGCGCCCTGGAATACTCTCCCATCGACATAACTGTGAACCTTGATGCTGGCAGCTCCCAGTGTGGGCTCCATGGGCCTTTGCAGTCTGACAGTGCCACCGACAGCCCTAAGAGCTCGCTAAAAGGCAGCAACCCACTCAAGTCCAGATCCCTCAAAGTGAACTTTAAGGAAAACAGAGGCAGTGCCCCCCAGACCCCGCCCAGCACAGCCAGGCCACTGCCGGTCACCACGGCTGACTTTTCGCTCAGCACCCCACAGCACATCAGCACCATCCTCCTGGAGGAAAGTCCCGCCCAGGGAGACAGACTCTTGCTGGATGCTGAGCTGCCGGCCCAGTGTCAGGGACTCGCCAAAGGGCTCTCCCCTCGGTTTCCCAAGCAGAAACTCTTTGCTTTCTCTTCCAGGGAGAGGCGGAGCTTCACCGAGATAGATACAGGCGAGGACGAAGACTTCTTAGAGCTCCAAGGGGCGAGGGCGGACAAGCAGGCGGACTCCAGCCCCAATTGCTTTGCAGAGAAGCCTAGCGATGCGCGACACCCTCTGAGTGAGGAGGGCTGTGGGGGCTCCTCCTCGCCCCCAAACACGGGGCATAACTGTAGGCAAGACAGTTTCCATGCTGTGGGAGAAGTGCAAAAGGACAGTAGTCAAGAAGGGTACAAGATGGAAAACCACTTGTTCGCTCCAGAAATTCATTCCAACCCAGGAGACACAGGTTATTGTCCCACACGGGAGACCAGCATGTGACTAGTTACAGAAGCAATAATAAAACAAACAAACAGACTTGTTTCTTAAAAACGAGGTTAATAATGCCTGTGAACTAGAATATGGAAGCCCCTCCCCCCCAAAAAAAGTGCATAAAATGTTATTTTTGCATGGCATGAACAGTTTAGTTCAAGTACTGTTTAAATAGTCAAGACCACATTTTGTAACAAACAAAACAAAAATGACTGAAGAACAGTGAACAAATAAAGAGAGCTCTATTAGGAACCAGTTACCTGCAATGTCTGACATTTTTGATCCTTTCATTTCAAACTGTAGGCAGATTTTTAAGTTTCAATTTTTTGTTACAATGAATTCTAGAATTTTCACATGAAAGGATGAAATGTCATTGCATGCATTCATAATTATGAGGAGTAAGGTGCTTTGAGCTTGCAAAAAGCCTCGCTTTGTAAGTAACGGGGCCTGGATGTAGAAGTGTGGAGAGCACATGGAAACAAGTTTCTGAGACACAGGTATTCTTCACAGCTGCTGTGGGAGGAGCTGTACAGACTTCCTGTTGCAAAATTGCAACCTCTTCTTAAACCATCTCACATATCTTACTTTGGGGTACAAAGCTCCTACAGGTACATTTATTTAAAGGAATACAGTATTTTTATTTTTTGTGGTAGAATTCCTCAGCTACATTTTTCTTTTTTGCTTCTGCTTAGTTGTGGCACTTGTGGTTTTATTTATAAATCATGGAAATAGGCAAGATTTAATGACCAGATATCAAATATTTGGAATTTAAGCTTGAAATTTTTGCTAACAAGTTATATGTCATGCCATAGCCTATAACAGAAATGCAATTTTTAATGTGAAAATATACGGTTGTGTCATAAAATTCAACTTTTAAAAAGTGGTTCTTCCCTTTTGGAAATTGTTTCTTTTTTTAAGAACAGTTGTATTTTGGCCACCTGAAGGTGACAGTATATTCCACTTGTACTCAACGTAACCTTTTCTAACTAACAATCCAGAAGTAGAATGCAGATATGCCAAAATGGGAATTCCAAAAAGTGACTTTGGTCCAACTAAGAGCAGAGCCATTGAAGTGAGATCGCCACCCCCTTCTTACGTGGAGTCAGTTCCAACCTGAGCTCCCGTAAAAGGAGCACAGGTCTGGTAATAGGTCTCCTCGTGTTTCTCAGAGTGGGCCAGGAGGAGAGGGAAGGACGGACACTGTCGTTTGTGGAAAGCAGTTCTTCCTTCTGCCAGATCTGGATCCCAGGACTCCGAACCACAGCCATGGCAACACCTTCTGGAATTGCAGCAACTGGAAAGTAGCCCCTTCTACATGGTGGTGGACAGGGCCATCCTTGTTGAAAGCCACCTGCTGCATTGTCTAAGAAAAAGAAGTGAAATCCAGGGGTGTCAAGGCTCTGGCTGGAGGTTGCCCTGTTTTTGAAATCTCTGCTAGAACCCAGGTGTTTTGAATGCAATTTGCTTCCCAAGGATCAAAGCTCTGGCTCCAGATTCATAATTACATGATATGTGATCCTGAACGATTCTCTTCAACCACTCTTGGTCTCCATTTTACCCCAATAAAAAGAAAAACTTCAAAGCTCCCTAAAGATGATTAATACGATCATTAGTAATATAATTCTTGGGTCTCCCAAGAATGTCCAGGTTATGCCTCAGCACACTGTGTTTCATACCTATGTGTGTATATAGTTCAGGGAAATAGGAATATGCCAGGCCAAATGTAAAGCACAATTTATTGTTTATAGGAAAAAAACTTACGTTTCATTCCATTTTTAAAAGAAAAAAACAACACTGAAGAAAGTAGCCCAAATATTTAGACTCTAACTCCAGTCTTTTAAAGGAATAATATTTCTTTATTAACAGAATCTGGTCATTATATCTCAGAAAAGAAAACAAGTTTCGATCTTAGTTGAAATCCAAGCAGGTCTGCTGCTAAAAACTAATCTTAAACATGTCTTTTTTTTCACTGTGCTTACAATTTCTTAACTGCTTTTATGTTTGTGTGGAAACATAACCTTTAAGAGTGTATGGTCATTAATCATTGATATTCACATTATTTGTGCATAATTCAGTGTCTAAATGTTGATGAGTTTTTGTAAGCCTAGAGTGTTTAAATTTCTATATATAGTTTTTAAATGTCAAAAAGTTATATCTACTATTAGGTGAATAGCAAGCAAGTTATGAAAATCATGTTCTTTACCTAGCCTCATGAAGCAATTATTTTCTCTCTTATCAATGAATCTCAAATGTTTTATTCAATCGGCTGCAGAAGTGGACTCATCGTGTTGCCCGACATGCCCACCTCTCACATGTCTGTTAGGCCTTCCCTGCTCCAGGAAGCATGAGATCAGAAATCTCGCCTGGTCAAGACATAGGCAGACACTCGTCCATGGAAATATTCTCCCTGAAATCTTGTTTTCATTCAGTCTGAGTTCTAAAGAATTTCAAAGGGACATTCTATGGAAATCTTATCTTTCAATTCTTCTGAGTTCTTCTGGGTCAAAAGTCTTCAGCTAAGAAAAAAAAGAAAGAAAGAAAAGAAAATTTTCCTCTAAAAAGCCCTTGACATTGGTATTTCACAGGAAGGCAGTCTGGGGATTGAGGTCTCTCAGGATGCATTTTTTCCTAAGCCTTGTCAGTAAGTGCACCTAGCTAAGAGCACGAACGCGTATGCCTGGAATGATCCAGGAACACACCAAGCACAGAGTTCTTTTGAAGTCTTATGTTTTACATTAAAAGTTGATGATTGCTGCATTTTATTCCATAATATACCCATTCAATATTATTTAAACAGTGTTTTATATTATTTACGAACCAGCAAAATTGATATTATTATAACCTCAAATACCTCCTTCGTATGTCCTAGACAATGCATTCTCACTTTGAGAGGCACTTCGTAGATCATAGGAACATAGTTTGGTTCCCTGAGGACCTTGAGATGTTTCTGCTACAGAGGGAGTCCATGCTCTGTTACTGGGTTCAGTGACAAGGGACTAATGTCAATGAGCAGTGATGATTTGAATGTCCTTAAATAACAGTCCCAGGAATGGCCAATCTGATTCTTCTGATTGTTTTAACAACCAGTTCAAATTGCCACAAGGTTGTTTTAGCTCCAAGATAGAGGCCAATCATCAGAGGATGAAGATGGGTGCATCAATAGACGTGTACATCTTGAGTTGGACCATGTAGACAAGGGTGATATACTAAGTGGATCCCTAAAGTTTACTTATTTAGTCTCTAAACAGTTTTACTAGAAATGTTTTCACTCTGGCACAACCAGCTGCCTTGAAACACATGATCAGCATTATCATGGTATGACTAGGTTTGGGAACAAGGAAGATATATGCCAAACATCTATTCCCATTAATTGCTTGTCAATATAGTCTCATTCACATGTAGACAAGGAAAGACAACAATTCAACTACTTTCTCCTCAAATTTGAATAGCAAAAAAAGGATGTACTTTATATTTCTTAACTCACAACAGCCTTCAGAAGTAACAATAAAGGACCAGAGAAATTACCTAAGGTCACAGTGAATAACAGAATCCCCATCATCTGGCTTCAAATCTGGCATTCTACTATACTACAGGAAAGTACATTTGGTTAGAGGGGTTTTTTCCTATTATTATCCAAAATCGGGTAAATAAAACTGAAGGTACATTTGTAGTCAGTCATGTGGCTTGTTTAAAGCAGCAATAGATTGTGCCAAATGAGAATGACTTGAGATCATTGGCATTGACTGTCTTTAGCACATATGCTTGCCAATTCAGAATTCTGGTCATAAGACATACACCTCTTGGTTAAAGAAAAGAATTCATTGTTCCTGATGCTACATGACAGACACATTAGAAAGAGGGCTGAAACAAAAGCAAGTAGAACTTTAGAAATGTTTAATCTAAGTTCAAAAATGTCTCATTGAATTTGATCCTCATTTTGCTTTTCATTCAATAAATACTAGTTGAGCGTCATTGATCTCTATACTGGCACTATACCCTCATGCTGGCCTCATGGAGCTTGCTGCCTGGCCTACTTACACCCAAGCTGAGGATGATTTGGATTAATGAAAAATGTCTCTTCTGAGGATGGGCAAACACTCAGTTATCAAACTGGAGAAGCAAATGACAAGAACAAATAAAGCTATTTTCCAAAGAACTATTTTCCTGGGAAATAGATGGATGGTGTAAAGTCAGCTGTATAATAATTGCTGAATCACAGCTTAGATTTCATACTTAAATAACAAACTGTGAACCTGATTGAGGGAGGTGATGGGTTTTCTTTCCTTATTATTTGATAAATTAAAATAATAATTCTTCAATTAGATATAGTGCCTATCAAAATAGTTAATACTAATCTCTCACAAATAACTAAAGCAAAATTTAATGCCAGTTAAAAAGTCTATAAAAATTTACATTTAAATTATGTGTTTGATGGTTATGTGGTTGAAATAAAGCATTGTAATTTTTTTCTTACTTTCTATTAACTACAGGCCACATTTCCACTATGTTCACGATTCTTGGTTTAGTCCTCTGAATTTCTCAATGGAAGATATTTAAAACTCAATATTCAAAAGTTATTTAGCTTGGTTCAAGGAATATATTCACTACATCCATATGGGTTTGTAAGTATATTGGATATTCCGCCACTGTACTGTCCTTCCCCAAACAAAACTTTAGAAAAAGAAAAAGAAAAAAACTACAAAATCTAAACAAGAATGGGAACATTTAGAGGCCTAGTCATACTAAGAAAGATGGAAGGTCCCAACCAGAAAATCCTGGGGGACATTCTGTGTTACTCATTTTGGCACTTATTGTGACAAACGTTATTTTTTAATGCTGTCATTAACCATTTCTTCTACTTGCTGTTTAAGACAGCCTGACTTAATTCCATAAACTCTTTTTTAACATTGTCATAAATACATGATTTCTTCCTTATTAAGTCTAACAAGGTTTTAACCTGTAAGTACACATCTAATTAGAGGGAGGTGGGAGGAGTCTCTAATGATAAGTCATCCCAAGACCAGCAAAAGACACAAGCACAAACACAAGGAAGAAAGATTAAAAAAAATGTAAGTAACTGTGCTTTTAAGAGAGAAATGTATATTAGGTATATGTTCTTACTTGCATGAAATTTAGACTAAACCCTTATTATTTACATGAACTTAGAACTGACACCATGATTCCAACTTCTCTCCTGAAGAAATTATTTCTTATTATCAGATACCTCCTGATTGCTGCTGATAGAGTGTTTCATTCACAAACACTGAGTGTCTGCTGTGGGCAAGAAATGAATTCAGGTGAAGTTCAATCCTCAAGTTTACACTTCAGCAGAGGCTTCATGTTTAAGAGACCATACTCCCAAGAGAAATCCAATTTTACAGGGTGAGCTACAGTGCATACAGCAGGATATTCTGTTATCTGAGAATTTCTACAATCCCCTTTTATTTTTCCTCTGATTCATATTTATTTTCATTCCTTAATCTGGAATCTGGATTTCCACCCAGAGAGTTTCTTAACATCTGTGCTGCTCAAATTTACAGTAGCCAGCTGAAAGCCAGTGACAATGCACTTCAATGAAGGCATTCCCTGCTCAGCAAAAGAGAATATGATTCTCACCAAAACTGATGCTAAATAGTAATCATTTTATACTCCCATAATTGTATTATTTGATTTTTTTTATACCTCATGGCCCATTTGCTGTGGTAGAAGCCACTAATAACCTGCTCAGATGAAAACGAGATGCCAATCTGCACACCCTGGTTAGTCAGCCACCCACTGTGGGCAATTCTGGCAAATAATAAGGCTCAGTAGTCTTGCTTGCAGTTATTTTTGCTCCATTCCAACCCTTCAAAATCAAGATTCAGGAAATCAGGCACAGGCTAGTGACAACAGAGCCAAGGTACCCCCTTCAGAAAGGAGACCTGCTATGCTGGCTATTATTCTATGTCGAGTGCCCTCTAGTGGCCAACCTGAGAGAAAGTGGACTTCTATTTGCCAAGAAAATGCGGTAACCAGTACTTGAAAGAAAAATTCTCTGGCATTTTTCACCTTTCTGCATATAGCCAAAACCACAAGTACATCTAAGGAATTTTTTTTAGCGAGTGCTTCTCAGTTTTGTTTTACTTATTCCTAAATATCTGATAAAACTTGTTATTCTGTGCTGCACGTTCAGAATATTCCTAGCTGCTGCATTAAATTCAAAACAAAAATCACAAGTTTGCCAAATATTTCGCAGGGCCCTAGTCAGTAATCTGAATACTCATTTAATGTTACTTTGACCTTTCTGTCATTATTAGGAAGCCAGACAAGAATTCAAAATAATGATTTTTTTTTTTTTTTAATCCAGAACCTAGTATTACAAGTGGAGCCTGAAATACCCCTGGATTGACCCTGGCAAAAAAAAAAAAAAAAAAAAAAAAACACAGATGATTTATAAACTCCACCAAGACATCTGTTGGTGCTGGCCAGAAATTCTCTTAGAGCCAGATTTGTGGCCCATCTTTAAAGCAAGATACTTTTAATATTCTGACACCATATATTGGTTAGGCTATGTTTTTCTCCTGCACATTATATTCGCATCATAATGTTTAATTGAAAGGATCAAGATTTTTATAGAAAAAATACAAAAAGAGCAATATATACTAGTGTGACCCAAATTTAATTTAAGATTTATTTGTTTGTTTAATTGACAGGCAGAGCAAAATAGATAGAGGGAGAGACAGAGAGAGAGAGAGAGAGGATCTTCCATCTGCTGGTCACTCCCCAAATGGCCACAATGGCCAAGGCCAAAGCCAGGAGACTGGCACTCTATCCAGGTCATCTTTCATGGGTGACAGGGCCCAAGTATTTAGGTCATTTGCTGCTGCTTTCCCAAGCACATTAGCCAGGAGCTGGATTAGAAGCAGAGCAGCCAAGACTGGAAGCTGCACCCTGATATGGAATGCTAGTATGGCAGGTAGTGGCTTAACCCCCTATGCCACATGCCATCCCCAACCCAAATTTTTATTTTTAAACAGTTTTTTTAAGATTTATTTATTCACTTGAAAGTCAGAGTTACAAAGAAAGAGGGAGAGACAGAGACAGAAATAGAGATCTTCCATCTACTGGTTCTCTCCCCAGATGGTTACAACAGCCAGGACTAGACCAAGCTGAAGTCAGGAGCCAGGAGCTGCATCTTGGTCTCACATGTGGGTGGCTGGGTCCCAAGTACTTGAACCATCCTCTGTTGCTTTTTTCAGGCCATTAGCTTGAAGCTGGATCAGAAGTGGAGCAGCTGGGACACGAACCTAGGCCCATATGGGATGCTGGCTTCTTAAGCTGCTGCTTTACCTGCTATGCCACAACTCTGGCCCCAACCCAAATTTTCTAACTCAACAAAATGCACCACTATCACCAGAATTCATTACCAAAAATGTACTGCTATGAAAGCCAAACTAAATAATTGGCCAAAGTCATCCTATTTAGTTCAAAACCAAAGAAAGAAAAAGAAAAGCAAAACTTGCAACTTACAAAACACTAAGTTTATCATATAATAGCCAAGTGTTTAAAGAGGTGTGGTGTTAAACCAGAAAAATTCAAAAGTAAATGTATAAAAAAGGTTTATTAAACAAATAGAATATTAGCACACTGAAGCATTTTTAATAATCTTTTTAACTATTTAATGACTGCTCTTAGCATCTTGCTTTCAGTTCAAAATCTTTTTTGTTTATGTTGTTGCTGTGTGTTTGCTTGCTTGCTCTGTTTTGTTTGAAGATGTGAGGATAAGTGGGAAAAAGCACTTAAAGGGAAAATTATTGGGCAAATTTTAAGATTACCTACTGTTCCCTGGAGTGCAATAGAAACTATTGGCCTTCTTCCCTTCCACCTTTTTTATCAAGTTTCACCATCCTAGTTTGGAAACAGATTCTTATGAACAAATCTCAGCTCTTGCTCACTCAGATTTTTTATTCTTTTCCTGTCTGCAGTATCCATAAGCAATCCTTCCGTGGGGTCTGCCTGCTTACAATACATCATGCACCAACCAAGTCAAAGACAGGACCTAATGGGCCATTTGCAGTAGCAACTTGGAGCAGCCCAAAGCCAAGGCAACAGGAGGATGTCCACTGCCTAGAAAACTTAGACCTGGGGACTCTGTCTCTACACATTATCATTATGTGATTTGACCAACAAAGCAGTGGCATGATGTCTTCCCCTTAATGACAAAAGAAAACAGCATTTTTTTTAACTTTTATTTAATGAATATAAATTTCCAAAGTACGACTTATGGATTACAATGGCTTCCCCCCCATACCGTCCCTCCCACCCACATTTTTAAGTTTCTATTAAGTTATTGAACTTCAAAAGTAAATAGCTGAGTTGATGAGAACATAGTACCTAATTCATCATCACTGTACATAAGGGAAAAACTAATAATACCTTTTCAACACTTTCAGTGGTAAATTTTTTTGTTTTTTTTTTTGTTTGTTTGTTTGTTTGTTTGTTTTGGACAGGCAGAGTTAGACAGTAAGAGAGAGAGAGAGACAGAGAGAAAGGTCTTCCTTTCCATTGGTTCACCCCTCAAATGAACACTAAGGCCAGCGCACTGCACCGATCCAAAGCCAGGAGCCAGGTGCTTCCTCCTGGTCTCCCATGCGCGTGCAGGGCTCAAGCACTTGGGCCATCCTCCACTGCACACCCGGGCCACAGCAGAGAGATTTTTATTTGTTTGTTTTGTTTTGTTTTGTTTTTTGACAGGCAGAGTTAGACAGTGAGAGAGAGAGAGAAAGGAGTAAATTTTTTTAATCAAGGAAACATTTTAATCAGGGAAAACTGATATTGCTCTGATAGTTTCCATATCTTTCAGGAACAAAATTGCAATATCAATTTAAATAAAACTTTAGCAAAAGACACATGGGGTTGGTCCTGGAGTGAGCAGAGAAAGCCATAAAGAAAAATTGTACTTTACTATATATCTAATTAGAAATAACTCTTATTTGGATTAGGAATTTTAAATTATTTTATGTAAACACATTTGGGTGATTGTTTGAAATTAATAATTCTATTTTCTTATAAATAGATTTTTTAATGATAAATGAGATGATATGTCTAGCACAATGCCGGATAAATAGGAGGTATATATTCTTTAAAAATAAGAATTCCAAAAGAAATCATTCAACTAGAATTTCTGTTCTAATCTCTTAGTCTTCTAAAATTCTACAGTGGTTTCCTAAACAGTCAAAATTTTAAATGTTTGCATATATCTCAAAATATAAAGAATTCCATTTGCCAAATTACACACACACAAACACACACTTCATGTGGCTTTAAAAATAGATTGACATTATTTGAAGAAATAATATGCTATAAAAACTAGGTAGTACAATTATTTTGTCAAATTATCTTAAAATTTTAATGTTTAATAGACAAATGCCAGTTTCTTCTAGAAGAAAATCAGCTTCCTACGATTACTAAGACTTTAGATATATTTTCTATTTGAAGTATTTTTACACCCTCCTTATTACCACAGATTTAAATATACTTGGTCATTATGAGGTAATTCAGTATACTGGGCCAACTTTCTGCTCTAAATAATTGTGAACTGAGGGATAAATATTCTTTTTTATTTTTTAGATTTTTTTTTATTTGACAGGCAGAGTTAGACAGTGAGAGAGAGAGAGAGACAGAGAGAAAGGTCTTTCTTCTGTTGGTTCACCCCCCAAATGGCCGCTAAGGCCAGCGTGCTGCGTCGATCCAAAGCCAGGAGCCAGGTGCTTCCTCCTGGTCTCCCATGCGGGTGCAGGGCTCAAGCACTTGGGCCATCCTCCACTGCCCTCCAGGGCCACAGCAGAGAGCTGGACTGGAAGAGGAGCAACTGGGACTAGAACCTAGCACCCATATGGAATACCAGCACCGCAGTCAGAGGATTAACCAAGTGAGCCACAGAGGATAAATAGTTCTTAAAGTATTTCATGACCAGTGTGATGTACCATGATTAGCTATTTGTCAGAACTACAAAATGAGAATAAAAGGTTTCAATATAAAAAACATTTTTCCTTATTAAATTTTGTTTTGAAAATCTAAAATAAAGATTGGCATCACTAAAGATTTCATCAGAAACATTTTGTTTTACTTTTTATATTAATTTTATTGATCCAGAATGAGAACATTACCTAAAACGCTAGGGCATAAAAATGTAGACAGAGGCCTTTTTTTCACAAGAGCCCTGGAGCTGGGTGATCCCCAAGGACTCTATATAGTGTAGCAAACTGTACAGTTCTGTACCAGCCAAAGCACAGGGGGCACTAAGGAGCCAGGGAGATGCAACACATTCTGACATTAAAAACAGGCAGACTTTTGGAAATTCTCCCATTGAGAGAGAAAGGAATTTCTAAGATCTAAAACTCCACCTTCAGAGTATCCAGTAGCCATCATTAGTAAACTGAAAATAACATTTTGATTCCAATGAGGGTTTTTGGGCTGATTTGGGGGATTTTGTTGGTTGATCAGTTGGACTGGTTTTTGTTTTTCTTTTGCTGAGTAATTTTATGAAAACTTTAACATAACACATTACCTAGTTTTAGTTTGTACTTTCAATCAACTTATTATGATGCTTTAATAAATTATCCATGTTCTCAATCATAATTGCATGATAGTTTAGATTTTATTACCATTTAGTTGTAGCCTAAAAAATACTGTATTCCTCTGTCTTCTCAAATAATTTTCTAGTGTATTAAATAGTATTCAGATAAAACATTATGCTGCCCAACCAGCTTACTAAGTGTATTTATTACCTGTCTCTATGTAGCTTCTGTAAAAACTCAGTGGTGATGGCCCATGTCTGCTGCATTTAAAAGTTGCCGTTGTGATTGTCTCATCTGACCATGCAAATGCCTTATGCTATGGTGTCGTGTACATAGACCACAGTACAAAGTGTTCTGCAAACTGCTTACTCAGCATATAGTCCAAAAAGTTCTGGGACAGGGCAATCATGCTTTTAAGAAGATGGCTTGCTGTGTGTCTTGTCAATCTGTGCATTTTTCCCATAGATAATGAAATACTGTTTTTAACTGTTTTTTCAGACTTGTAATAAAGTTCTCTGTGTCATATCTACATAGTCAAAATATGTCAAGTAATTCAGTTTATGTGTGTCTACTAACAGACTGAAGAGAATACTGACTTTCCCATATAACTGTTCAAATTATTTTCCAATGCCAATGTAGATCTGCCTCCACTGGTTTCTTTCGCCACTGTTAAGTGTGAAATAAAGGGAGGACATGGTGGGAATTTCTACCTGTCTGACATTAACTCTTTCCACGAGTCAAAGGATGGACACTCCTTTGCCATGACTCCTCTTCAGTATATATTTTAATTTTGGTCTCCAAAAGTTAAAGTTGGATGTCTATGAAATCGACATGTATAGACCTTCAAAGGCCAGCATTTGAGAAGGGGAGGAAGGAGGAGAAAGGAAGAGAGAGGAAGGGAGAACGGAATAAGAATAAGAAGGAGAAAGGGAGGGGGAGGATGTGGAAGGGGAAAGCAATGAGAAGAAAGGCTAGTAGAGAAAGATCGATCTGTATATGAGTAAAATGGAGGAAGCTAAAGATTTATAATATATTTTTTGAAAGTTGATTGGCTTTGAGGAGGCTGATTGTATCGTGTTTGTGTGTGTGTGTGTATTTGTGGGTATGCATGCATTTAGGATCAAGAGGGGAAGCCTGAATCATCTAATACTTTTTTTAAATTAACCAGAGTCATATTTTTTAAAAAATTTCCAATTCCCAAACTCATTAAATCAACAACTTAATGCTAGGATTATAAACTTATTGTTAAACTCAGGACAATTCTGTGAAGATTCATGCAGCAATTTTATGAAAACTTATGGTGAAGTTGTTCAGTATTGTCTGTAATTAATGCACACAAAACAACCTTGTTAGGGACAATCATGGGTGACTCCCTTATAAAACAGATTGATAGACAACCTATTCTTTTTTTTCTGAAGTGAAAGAAGTTTTATTGTTTCTGTTAAGCTCCTAATATCTCCCAGGTTAAAAATACTCAAAGCTATTTTTAAAACCTAAGGAATAGAGTATCAGAAATTAAATATTAAGTGAATAGCTTTAAAATTGCTCTATGTACATTATGTACAACAATTTCATGTTTCTAAGTTGTACCTGGCATTAGGTGTATAGGTCCAGTCGCATGAAGCATCACTCATTTTAATTAATGTCAGTGTTTTAAAGGGTTTTCTTACTAGTCTAGGAACGCTCTGAAAGCTGCAGGGAAAAAGAAGCACAATCCCAGTTTTATTTTTGAAGATTTCTCAGTTGTGTTAGCCTGTCCTGTCTACACACATAATAGCATTAGCAATTCACCTTATAAGACGTTCAAATACTTTAGACTTCTCAATAGAAGCTGAAGCATATGTGTAAGTGGTTAAGTCTTGTTTGGTTTCATTCATCTGCTGCAAGCAACATGCTTTCTTTCATTATATTTGCAAACAATGTTTTGATTTCAGCTTTGTAAAGAAGGTAGGATTCAGCATACTCACGTCTGTTTGGCTGTCCATCCTGCACCATTAATCCAATGCTTTTCCCTCCCATTTAGTGATGTTTGTATCTGTGTCCCCACATCTGCTGCATTTTAACCCCATAAACAGAAAAATGTGATTTTGCATTACTAGTTTTGCTGATCAACTCAATATTTCTGCACCAGTCAGCATACTTACGTGCATGTAGTAGTCTGTACAATTGTTCAACATCAAGATACTTGTTTACTTTATGTCAAAATGTCTATAAAACTGCTGGCATTGTTCTCCATTTCAGTCTGGTAGAATAAGCGAGATAGAAAATAAATGTGTAAATAAATCATCTGTGTCATTTTCGTTCTCTGCATGAAGCCACTTCAACATTAAGCATGGTACACTTGCCTGCCACCCAGCAGTCCATGGTTTCTTGCTACCTCATTACTGACTCTTTCAGCAGCTCACTTTTGGAGGAAGTGTAGGACAAAATTGCAAAGTCTAGAAAAAAAATAATAAAAGTTGAATCCACTGTCATTCAAAGGAAAGAAAGATTGTACTCTCCTTTTCAAAGGAATCCTTTTAGACAGCCAACAGATGTATGTCACTTGCTTTAGTTTTTATTTAAAAGGCAATGCAAATAACCTTGTTGAAACTCAGAGAACTGTGGCATAGTTTTGCCATAGTCTCCCACTGCCATTCCTAACACTAATTTAGGACAGTCCTTGTTGGGTAGATTACATCTTAATCCCTGACCCCAGGCCCCAGCTTCACGGGTGCACGAGCTGGGCAGTTGCAGAGAAGTGCACAGGTAGAAGATCCCCATACACAATTTAATGCCCTATTGTTGCCACCCTCCAATTAGTTTTGAATGAGAAGCCGTCTGTATTCATTTTGCCTCTGACCAGTGAGGTAAATCACGGGACAACTTATTGTGCCAGGCTCCCCTAGACAGGCGATTAACATTAAGGAGAAGGTTTATTCAGTTAACTGTCTCTTACAAAGTGCTTAACATATACCACATCCTATACAACAACCAGTTTTATTATCATCCCCATTTTGCAAAAGAGGATATCAAAGCACAGAGAAGTTGGGTAGCTTGCCCATGGCACATAACTAGTAAAGCCAGGATTTGAACCCAGTCATCCAGGCTATAGGATTTGGATGCCTGTCCCTTTAGGCCATGCTATATGCTGCTTTGCCATCACAGAAAAAGCCCTAATTGTGCTGGTTAATAGAGCACTGGGACACGCTTTACCTTAAAGGCCTTTGCTTCATAGTCTGAAAGTTTCAAGGATGAAATTGCAGCTCTCCACAGCAACATTTCCCTTATCTTGCCAAAGATACTTGCCCAAGTAAATTTAATAAAAGATGACTGTAAATATTAAGTGAACAATTGCTACCGGATTTGCACTCCGATACAGATGTGAGTGTCAAATGCTTCAATGCTTTAAGCAAACTCCTGCACTGACCACAGAGGGGAAGGGAAGGAAGAGGACAATGGGCTGGCCCTGGGGTCACGGACAATTTCCTCATTCGTTCCCCTCCCTTCTGAGCACAGGCAGCACCTTCATCGTGAAACTAGAAGGACCGGGGCGCGTGTTCAACTGCATCATGGTTGTCATTTCATGTAAAAGAAAAGCACATAGGGGGTGTATCTTCACGGGCACAGAGGATGGAACTGATGATCTAGAGCAATTCAGTCCTGGATTCCAAGGATTAGATGAGAGGCAGTGTCCTCACAATCTGCAAGAGTTCTTCCTTTCCAGGCCAATACCCCGAATCTAAAGCCATGGATGAGGAAAGGGGGATCCCTAAGAGCCTGCCCTGCTCACAGCCTCTAGGCTTGGCAGCACCACCCAGAAACAGCCATTCCAAGGCCGGTGCCGCAGCTCACTAGGCTAATCCTCCGCCTGCAGCGCTGGCACACCGAGTTCTAGTCCCGGTTGGGACGCCGGATTCTGTCCCGGTTGCTCCTCTTCCTGTCCAGCTCTCTGCTGTGGCCCCGGGAAGGCAGTGGAGGATGGCCCAAGTGCTTGGGCCCTGCACCCCATGGGAGACCAGGAGAAGCACTAGGCTCCTGCCTTTGGATCAGCACGGTGATCCATTCTTATCCACCCATTCCTATCAGCACATTGACAGGACTTACAGTCATCCCAGAGGGCTGGCAGCCCCAGGGAAGGCAATCTTTTTGCATCGGGAAATGTCAGCCTTCTCCCATAGAATCTTCTCTATTTTATTCATGACCAGTTCATCTCCTGAATTCTTCTCTGAAAATTCAGGAAAAACAAACTGAAAGAGAAAATAAGTGGGAGAAGTTGGGGGAAGAGTCATCCACTCCTAGAATTCCACCAAACTGAAGAGGAATGGAACAGAAACAGACCTCCCTGCCATTGATAGGGTTGAATGTAAAATTCTCACCCCAGGGCATCATCCTTTCTCTGCTACCATCCACTCAGTTTACCCTCTGCCCTCAAACCCAGAAAAACAAACCCTACAGAGCACAATTTGGGCCACACATACACAAAAAAAGATGGAGGTTGGACAGGGGATAATAGTATGGCATCCACTTTAAGAGAACTAAAAAAAGATTCTTCTCCTCTCTTCTCCACCTTCTCCCATCTTCAACCTCATGTAAACAGATGGGTTTAACAGTGTGACTCAGACAGCTACAGAATAGCAGAGAGAATGCTGGAGCTAAAAGTGAACATATTCCTTACTTCAGCCCCAGGGTTTCCTTTTCTCAACCCTAATGAGTCCACTAATAGACTTCTAAGAGCTAGAGAGTACCAAGCTCCCTAGCAAGAACTTCAGAGTTCATCTAGAGAAGTGGACAACAATCTTGATCAGGGCTTAAGTGTTGCATGGATGTCTCTGATTGGCTGACACATCGTTATCTCACATGACTTTGAACTTGATCATTCTTCACCTAGGAAGCCAGTGTGAGGCAAGGAAGCATCAACACAGGGTACGAAGCATCAGAACTACAAGGCCCAAGGTTGTTACAAGACACAGGATTGACTTCTGGCCTCTGTCACTCACAAATAACCTGGATGAACTTGAGGCATCTTCAGAGGAGAGCTGCAGAGACTGCTCTGACCAAATGAAAGAAAATAGGGCCGGCGCCGTGGCTCAATAGGCTAATCCTCCGCCTTGCGGCGCCGGCACACCAGGTTCTAGTACCGGTCGGGGTGCTGGATTCTGTCCCGCTTGCCCCTCTTCCAGGCCAGCTGTCTGCTATGGCCTGGGAGTGCAGTGGAGGATGGCCCAAGTGCTTGGGCCCTGCACCCCATGGGAGACCAGGAGAAGCACTTGGCTCCTGGCGCTGGATCAGAACGATGCGCCGGCCACAGCGCGCCAGCCGTGGCGGCCATTGGAGGGTGAACCAACGGCAAAGGAAGAGCTTTCTCTCTGCCTCTCTCTCTCTCTCACTGTCCACTCTGTCAAAAAAATAAAAAAGAAAGAAAATAGGAAAGGTGAAAAAGAAAAGGCTAGCTCATGAATCAGGAATGTGTTCAAGGACAATTTTTTTAAACTTTACTTCTTTTTCTGAGATTTTTATTAATTTATGTTTATTTTAAAGGCAGAGAGACAGAAAGATAAAGATCGTTGTCGACCCGCTGATTCATTCCCTAAGTGCCCACGACAGTCAGGACTGGCCCAGGCCACAGCTAACGAGATAGAAACTCAATAGAAACTCAATCTAGGCCACCCATGTGGGTGACAGGACCCAACCACTACAGCCATCACTGTTTCCTCCCAAGGTATTCATTAGAAGGAAGCTGGAATTGGAAGGAGATCTGAGATTTGAACCCAGGCACTATGACATGGGATGCAGGCATCCCAAGCAGCCTGTCAATGGCGGCACTCAATGCCCACACTGAGGACAAATTTTTTTAATTACACTACCATCCTGGAAGATAGGAATAATATCCATATGGTAACTTATAAATATTTCAATTGAGTGACCTTTAAAATAGTCAATATTCAATTATTCAAGACACAACATGTCTTTCTAGGCTGGGCACTATGCTAAGTACTAGGGACCCAGGAATAATAAGAGAGGATCCCTGCCATCAGAAAGCTTCTGGTCATCCTTATGAGGAAGGCAAAAGTTGACACATGAGCCCCATTCCTTCACTGCCCTCTCCCATGTCAACCATTAATCTGTGTTCCTTTCCACTGACCCAGGACATAGCCTCAGGACCCAACAGCCCAATCAACCACCACCAGGCAATCAGAACTGCTACTTCAGAAATTACTACATGTGTCCTTTTGAGGTAATAGACAAAGAACCCAATGTGTCCCTCTGTAACATTGACCATAGTTAATTAACAGCAGCTAATGCACTTTGAGAGCCTATTATAGGTCACACAGTGTTCTAGGAGCTTTAGAGGCAGCAGTACTACCTCCTTCAATCTCATCTTTTTAAAATGACTGGTTAACAGAAATCTATGTGGTCATCAACAAAGACTCATTGAAAGGAAATGGGAATAAACTCCAGTATGAGGAAATGAGGTGTCCTTCAGACAGATTCTCCACATATGATGGATGGTTCACATTAGCAGTAACGAGGGAGCTGGTGAGCTCTTCTTCTCCGGATGTCTTCGGAATTAGGATAGATTCTCACCCAGTTGTAATGAGAAGCACAAACCTGTCTAGATGAAGAAGGACAAGCCAGATGACCTTTCTGTGTCCTTTTCATTTCCGAGATTCTATCATTTGTGGTTCTCCAGACTCAAATTTATTTTTTGTGAAAGTCTGTGGAAAATGGTCATTAAATTGTCGCCACATTCACTTAGCCCAGAAGACAAATTAGGAAAGAAGGCAGGCAAGCAATTTGCAAAAACATATTTTTAAGCTTTTATTAATCATACATCCATATTTTGTGCTGAAGCACAAATCTTGTTTAGAAGATCACTCTCAAAAGCACTTCAGTGAAAGTACTAGACATAATGCAAAGGTTAAGTCCTAGAAACTCATGCTAACAAGTCGCTATAACTTGTGTGAGTGAATTAATTTGTGCTGAAATGCCTTACACTTGGATGAGTAATTTCATAAAAATTTATTATTGGAGACACAAGTCTGAAGTCCCAATGATGTGAAGGAGAAACAAAAACAGTAGCATTAGATAGCATTTCTTTGCTTTGAGAACTCAAAGAATTCAATTTTTTTTCTTTCTTTAGTTTTATTTGAGAGGAAGGGAGGGAAAGGGAGAGAGAATGAGAGAGAGAGATCCATACATATATAGAGAGAGAAATTTCCCATCCACTATTTAGCCCTGAAATGCCTGCAACATTCAGGGCTAAGTTGGATCAAAGCCAAGAGCTGGGAACTTAATCCAGG